CAAACTCCCTGAGGAATGCTTCCAGCACCTTGTTGAATCTATGCCACCAAGAATTGAGGCAATTAAAAAATAATAATGTACATCAGAATGTACATCAATGTACAGTATGTCCACACAAAATCTACATCTGATGTACATTATTATTTTTTCCTTTTTTGGAACCTCAAGAAAAAAAAAACTTCAGAAATAAACCTACCCACCCTCTCTCTCCATGTAGCAATATTACATTTAGCATTAACCATATTTTTACAGGCCAGAATTAAGAAAAAGGGATAAAACAATAGTATTGGAGTATTTGAAACATCACAGTAAAGATCAATACTGATTAGTCTCCCAGGTCTAATCTGGTTAGAATGTCCAGGAAGGGAGTCCATATGCAGTCAAATTTAGCTAATGTCCCATGAATTGAATGGAGAATTTTGTTCAGGAGTGCAGCAGAGAATCTGTATTTTAGCAAATCACCGGGGAAGCCATTATCTGGAAGCCTGCTGTTAATGCTTAGAGGATAGGAAAGCTGTCGGTCTTCAAAGAGAGGATTGCTGACCATTCCTTGCTCTGTTAAGATCACTCAGGGTCTAGGTTCCTCTCTTATGCAGATCACCACACAGGTTTTCTATATTGTTGAATATTCATCCCCCTGAGTATCGATCCAATCAAAGTTATCTTTTAGAAGCAACAAGAATCTCATTTGGACAGTCCTGATAATATAATTGTAATTTCATTACAACCTATCCAGGCTCATTGGAACTTAGAGAGGAATGCTGGCCCACAACATCATAGATCCATCACTATAAAGGATGTGGTCTAATTGAACTAAAGTTTTAGTTCAAGTTTCATAAGTGTAATCTTTGTTTCTGTTGATGGTAGGACAGAAAAACATTTTGTTCTCCGACATGCTTCTGAAATAACAGGTAAGCTTTTAGTTGGTACCTAATGATTGTTATGGAGACTCTGATCCCATCTGAGGTCTTGGTCCAGCCTCCTAAGTTACTAGAACATCTTTAAATATTTTCTGCTGCATTAAAGCACAGACTCATGGTGCCATACAATCTCAGTGTTAAGTGCAGTGGAAGCAGTTCCCTACAAAGTTTGTATTGCAAACATTGATTTTGTGATGTCATTAGATGTATCAGACTGTGCAGCCATACTCTGACTGTAAATACGGGAGAGATTTAATGAATAGCTGTTGCCTTTTATTAGTTTTTCAATTCCTTTAGGTCATCACTTATCTACCTTATCAAAGGTATGTTCACCTTTCTTTACGATTTGAAGATTGGGTTAAATAAATTGGCTTATATGTCATAATGCCTTGTTTAAACTCAAAGAAGCAAAACATTTGAGACTAATAAGTCTAGTTTTATTGACTTTTCCATCCATGTGTTGCTTAATATGGCTATTAGTGCGTGACTGGTGCCTATTAGGGGTGAAGAAAAAAAATTGATTTGAGCTCAAATCGCGTTTCTAACATTTAAAGATTCAGAATCAATTCTCATTTTCTTTAAAAACAACTTTTTTTTGTGTGG